TGAAAAAAAAAAGGGATGGGGTATTGCTTAGTGTAAGAGTCCCAGGTTCTACTGTGAGTAACACACACACACACACACACACACACACACACACACACACACGCTTGCACACAGATTTAGAGATGGGCAGACAAACACATTTGGCTCCGAAGGCTCAGACCTGTGTGGGGCTGCCTAGCAGGTTGAAGGGGACCTCAATCTGAGGTCCAGGACGGTGCCACCCCAGGCTCAGGAAGGGGCAGGCCACATACCTTTTTGAGGATGCAGTGAAATAGGCCTCAGCTAAGTCCCAAGCTTGTGGTGGAAGCTTGGCACTGTCTACTGGACATTGGGCCAGGCCCAAAGAACAGCAGTGACAGAGTGAACTCAGACTGCCCTTGTTCAGGATCTCCAGAACTGCTGGAAGGCTAGAGATTTCAGGTTGTATGTCACATCCTTTGCTGAACCTGAAGCTACTTCCAACTCATTCTAGTTCCCTACACACACGAGGCCCTCAGGACCCACAAATTTAACTTCTTTCATGAAAGTAAAAAATACCTGTGCTAACTTTTTTTTGAAGGTAGTAAAATACAACAGAACAAGACAGAACAAAGCCAATCGAGACAATGCAGTGAAGTTGGTACAGAACTTCACAGCAGGTTACTGGGATAACAGTGATAGGTACCACAGTGTATCTCTTTATCTTCACAGTAGTTGTCTAGTCAGTTAGATATAGCAAAATCAAACCAAATACAGAACATAATACCTATCAAAACAGAGCATTGAATAAAGTGATACAATTAATCAAAACAAAGCAAAACAGTGATTACAGTATTTGCCTTCAAAGAGACAGTAGGAAGAAATCCTCCTATTTGCTATATTGTATGCAGGCATCCTCCCAAGAGATGCTCAGACCTCTCTGGCTCCCATTTGCTGATGGAGGGCAGGGATGTTTGATTCTCAGCTACCATGATGGTAGGCTCACAGCTGCTTACCAGGGAAGCAAGCCGGTTGCTTTGTTGCCCAGCACCCTAAGTTCAAACATGGCTGTGCTAACTTTTTATTTGTAAACACACTGCATATTTGTAACATAAAAAACAAAATTAATTTTCAAGACACTTAGCACAAAGCTTCTTAAGCACTGAGTACAAACTGGCATCTAGGTAGCAGATTTTCTGTCTTTCCGGCCAGAACGTAGAGTGTATCTTTTGTTTCTGCTTTTGTCAGTAAGTTGTCTGGGGTCTACTCTGACAGGAATCTCCAGTAGCATGATTTCTGCTGTGACTTTTTGCACTTTTATGGGCTTTTTCAGCAGTCATTCTAAGATGCGGATTTTCCTCAATTAATTGCATCTCAAGGGTTTTAGTAAAATCGAAATATTTTATTATTTCACCTCATTATGTAAAATTGCACAATACATGGGAATTATCACCCATAGCACTTAAAATGGCATTACAAATTGCCACTGGTCAATGTTGGGTCTCTTGGACATTGAATGTAATGCACATTTTCCATTTAAAGGGTCAACTCCAGATTTTTGTGTCATTCTAAAAGTGTGTAATTTCAAGCTTTTTGTTTTCTTTGTCAACAGAATCACTGGAGTGCATACTTGATATTAATAGAACACTTTCACCTTTTTTGGGTATATATGACACTAATGTGGAGGGCTGGGACGTAGCTCAGTGGCACAAGTGCCTGCTTGGCAAGCACAACTTTGAGTTCAATTGCTGGTACTCTTCCCTGGCAAAAAAAAGTAAGATGCTAATGTGCTAATAGCAAAAGATCCAAATGCCGATGACTCAACAGTTTGTTTTCTACTTGGTAAAAATTCAGGTACTATAGCCCCCTTATAAGTGTCTACACCGAATCAAGTTCTTTTAAATTCATCAGGAAGTTTCACTGAGCTATACTAGAAGTCACTGGCAGTATTTCTGTGAGTCCCATCAATACATTCTGCAAATCTAAGAACAACTTGTAGGATTTAATAGGGTGGGTTTGGTAGAATTCACTATCTTTGTCTCAGCACTACTATATATTTCTGCATTTGGAACATGATGAGTATTAGTGTCTGCTGAAATCTGTGCTTTGGTGCCGTATTTAGCAGGCTCATTAAGAATAAATGTTCTAAAACCACATCTTCCTTGAAATGGCACTAGCATCTCATCTAGTTAGGTGCAATCCAGGAGAATAATGACTTTGACCCTGTGACAAATTCATTAAATAAACTGGAGACAGTAGCTAAAAATCCTATTTATCTCCACTCTCCCTTTTCTAGCGTCAAGATTAGCGAATCTAAGATCGTATACTAAGTACAAGCCTACGTTGGTGCCTCCCTTTGATTGAGGAAACTGCTGCACCTTAGTTAAATCAAGTCTTTTTCCATGTACTGATATGTACAGAGCTGGCTATGGTGTTTCCTTCTCTCTTCAGCTGGCTCTAGGCAGTGCAAATAAGGCTGGCTGAAGCCCTGATATGTAATCTCTGAAGTCAGTCTCACAGTCTCCTGTTCCTCGCATAGTGCTCTCTGTAAAAGATCGAGCCCAGGAGGATTGCAGAGCCAGTCAGCTCCAGGAATGTCAGTTGGGTATGAGCCTCAAAATGAAGAGGTTATTAGTTTCCAGGGCACACAAGTTTACATATCAGAAACTGAAGCAACAGCCTCCTAAATTCTTTCACATGTAGATTGGTGTTTCTGCTTATCTCCCTGCATATTTCAAAGATGCTTTTCTCCCCACCTGGCCAGCCAGCTCAAGTTACTCACCACCTTCAGTCTCTCATCCTCGAGGCACTGGTTTCTTCACAAGATAAGCTCTGGGATCTGGGCCTCTGTCTGCACATCCTCACTTGGATAAGGCTTGACTGCCCTTAGCTTTGAATCTGTCTTAGTGTCTTTACTCTTGCCATGGGTTGCAATGGAGGTCGTAGATTGTAATTAACTTCTGGGATTCTAATAACGTCTCAATGGGATTACAAATACAACTTTTTGGATTGTGAGGAAGACTGGAAAAGGGACTGCAATACTTGGATTACAGTATTCATACTTTGGAATTACAACATACTAAAACTGAAAATTGAGCCAGACGAATAGAGGCATGGAAAATGGGTCACCCATGTTGAATGGATATCTTCGTGGTCAGACTTGAAAACAGTAAAACTCTTTTTTGCTGTACTGCATAGGGTCATCTTCCCAAGAGAGGCTCAGACCTCTCTGACTCCCTTTTGCTAATGGGGGGCAGAGATGTTTGATTCTCAGCTACCATGATGGTAGGCTCATGGCTGCCTACCCGGGAAGCAAGCAGGTCATTGCACTCAACAGGAAGACTGCAAACATGGCCCTGCCTGCTGTCCTTCGGCCTCAGCACTCCCTTGGCCCACCTCCTGTGCAGGCAGAGTGGCTTTCCTGGAAGTTTGGGACAGCAGGCAGGGCCATGTTTGCAGTCTTCCTGTTGAGTGCAATGACTCCCCCAAGTAGGTACACCACTGGCACAGGTGTGCTAGCTGAATTCCACCCTCAGCAAAACTGATGGGGCTGTGGCTATTTAAGTCTTAAGCAGGAAGACGCACTGCTGTTAGAAATCAAGGAGAAAGAAGACAAAGAACGAGGAAAAGAAAGAATTCTGCCCTTACTGAGTAATAACTGAAGTCTACTTCAGAACAACATTGTGGTTGTAGAGAAAGTGGCTTTACTGGCAAGTTTTTAAAATTCAAGTCTCTGGCAAGCTTAATTTGAAAGCAGGGATATATCACACTGTTTCAAATACCACTAGTGGTTTATGAGGGACCTGGGTTTGCCTGCTCACCTGTAGAGCAGAAGGCTGGACACTCCTTGGAACTGTGACTGAAATGTGACTTAACTAGTATCACTGTGAGTTGTTGACTTGATTCAACATGATGACATTCGTATGGTCACCTACCATGTCTTTGTGAAATTTGTGAGCTAGCGTAGAAGGTTTTAGAAATTCTTAGACCACTGTTTGGTTTCAAGATGATTGATGTGATAAATTTAAGCTCTACTTACATAGCTCACTGATGCCAAATTGGTTTTTAAAAAATTAGGCAATAGCTTCTCAAGTTAAAAGGAGACAAATTCAGAGTATTGAGTAGCGGGCTGGGGAGACCTGGGTGATGGTGGAGGGAGGAATGGTGTTGGCAGCACCCCGGAATGGGGGCCTCAGGCCTCTGTGAGGAACGCAGGAGCTCTGAGTTCATCTTCTGAGAGGCTGTAGATCTATGGTTTGTGCACAGCTCACACTGTCTCCAGCGATCCTAGGAAAGTGCCCAGGGATTACAGGTGGGAAGCAAGTGGACGTGTGGAAAGGAAAGGAACGAGCAGCCTTGGACATGGAACCCAGTGCCGCGAACACGGGGGACTCGCTCGCCAGCAGAGGCAGCGTGCTGTTACTGTATTTTAAAATTTTAAAAAAATTTTTTTCTTTTCTTCCAAGAAGTTGAAACTCTTCTTTGGAAATCTAGTAATGACCTTACAAGTTTTATGGAGGGAAAGGAAGGAAGAAGTTAAGGAAGAAAGAAGGTAAACTCCTATAGTGACCACCTTTTCTCGGTGTCCACCCCTTTCATCCACCCCTCTCCTAACCTTTCCCTTCTCTCCTCCCCTCCCCTCCCCTCCCCCTTTCCCTTCCTGTCTGTGTTTCTTCCTTCTGTTTACTCTTTAGTAGGTGGACACTCAACTGACCTCCAAAGAGAAGGGACATAGAACCTCTTCCCCCCCACATGTCATAAAAAATCTCTTGAGATCATAAGGTCATAATGAAATCTTGACACCAGGGTCTCTTTCTGTATATTACCCTACTTTTTTTTTTTTTAACCAGTGTTTTTCAAGGTAACTCAGGGCATCTGTTAGTATTTTGACAACCTGAGCAGTATAATCAGCTCAGTCAGGATTTCCTATTCTAAGGTGCAGTAAGGGCTACAGAAGAACCAGCTCTGTGTGACCCTCACATGGCCTCTGGCAAGAAAAAAAATACCCGTGTCACCAAATCAGTCCTTTTCTTATGAACACATAAGAATAACAAGTATCAATTTTATTCACAAGTAAAAAAGTGTAACAAAACTACTTGTATAGGAAAATTTCAGTATGCAAAACATTATGATGAATTCTAAATTGATTCCAACTACCTTAAAGCAGTGTGCTTTTGTCCATGTGATCTTTGCCTGCAGAGATGACAGTGCCTGATCTAAGTAACAGCAATACTAACACTTTACCTAAAGCAGAAAAGTCTCTATATAAAACATATGTTCCATATACAAAAGGTTTAAAAAAACGAAACCATGATCCGATGTAGTTATTCTTGAAATCCTCATAGCTTCTGTGCCTCACAAACCAGCGAAGTCGCCCGGGGCGGTATCACTCCAGGTGACCCCCACCTCTGCTCCACAGCCCAGAGCTCTCTGTGTAGCGCAGGGTCTTCCAGTAAGGCGAAATGCAAACTGGACTTTTTTTCTCAAGTATTGACTTGGAGTGTGAAATATAACATTTCTGTATGTTTCTAGAGTAGGTAGTTGTAAGATGTCTCCAACTTGATAAAAATAGCCCAGAAGTTTTCAAATGCAGTGTTCAAATGAAGTCAATTTCCACCCGAAGCATTTCTCTGCTGATTAACAGTGATGTCTATGATGTTGGACCAAAGTCTCCTTAGCAAGTGTGTCTTTGAAGCAACTCAGGGCTGTACATATGGAAAATATATGCAGGTTACACAAACACAGCCCTGCTCGCTTTGATCATACTCCTGTCACAACAGAGATGATCAGACTGCAAACAGTGACGCACACATGTGAGACACAGGGAAGCCACTCAAGGAAACCTGACTTGCATTTTCATAGACGCCTGTGGTCAAGTCCTAAATATTTTACAAGTGTTTCCTAAAGGCGATTCTCTTAAGAGTTGGTGACTATGAAAGTTTAAGAACCACTGCCTTATGCAAAAAAGAAAACAAGGAAAACAAAAAAGAGAAAGAAAAAGAGTCACGTATGACTGGGCAGTTGGGAGGCATTAAAGGTTCTGGGCTTCTGACGTCCTGCTTCTGGTAAAAACGCTGAGGTCATGGAGCAGTATCCAGACACAAGCAAACCACTATGCCCACATCAGCACCTAAAATTATGTGGAGAGAAATAGCCGCAGGGAAGAAAGGTGCTCATCAAGTTTTACTGATCTTTACAAAGAGAGAAGATGTTGGGGTAATAAGGGAGAAGAAAAAGTTGATGTAGGAAAAACAAATTAGTTCTAACTTTCAGATTAAATGTTAGGTTAAAAGACACCAATTTGGGCAGGGCAATTTGCAGGCAAATACCTTAGTGCCCCTCTAACACATGGACATTTCGAGGTCTATTTATTTTGTCAGGGTACACGTGACACAGCTAATAGCAAGCAGTTAAAAGACAAAGGCCAGAGCGGATTGTGTAAGTTGGAACAGGAAAATAATTAAGTCCTGCTCAATTAAGTCTTCTCCAGGGCATAAAGATTAAGAGCAAATGAGGCATGCCTCGCTTTATGGCTGGGCCGGGTTCATTTTTTGCCTGCCCTCACACAAACTGGTGCATCAGCAGTAACAGGCAGGCGATGTGGTACTTCCACAGAAGCAGGCACCTCCAACATCACCTGGCCACAGTTAAGAGATGACGTGAAAATCCTACAAGATCAGAGGGAACTGTGCCACATCCTGGTTCAACTACACTTTGCCAGGTCTCCTCAACAGCACCTACCAATTGTGCTTTTTCTTCTGTGTCTCATAGCAAGTATATTCTTGCCAAAGACTACTTTAGTAGTAGAGGAACCTGATACACCAAAATTTCTAAAGCTTTTAGTACAAGGTCCAATGCAAACAAAAGGTCACTATGTATACAAATACCACTTTTCCATGATAGAAAACTGGACCTTCTCCGCTCAGGCCCAGGGGCAGAGGTAACAAATGCTTCTATGTCAGTTCGTCTTAACGCGTCTATACTAACCTGTGCATCCAAGTTTGAGGAAACGTGCGTTAGTGGTTTAAATCGGGGCAAAGGGCCACTCTTTCCAGACCACGGTGCGTACCCAAGGTCGCTTTTTCTACCAGCACCAGTGGGTATCCAGGAGCTAGAGGCCAAGGGCAGGAGCATGGATTCTGGACAAGAGCCTTTCTCCAACACAGCTGATCCCTGGTGAGGTCTATTGACCTCATCTAGTAACACAAGATTGAGGCAGGCGGAATGAAATCAGTACTAATCACCCAAGCTAATTCCCCTTAGATGAGAAAAAGTGGCCTTCCCCAACACAAATACTCATTTTTGAACCCATTCTACATTAAAACAAAACCAAAACCAAACCAAAACAAAAAACCGAGATCAGGAATCTGACATGGACTTTTAGCAGGATAACAGACTACGTAAGATTATTTTTGGAAAGAAAATGTCAGCAAAAATGTATACTCTGGGTTGCCAGTCTTGTAAAATCATGAAAATAAGCGCAGATGTCCTGCTGTGTCTTGTTCATGACTGCAATGCTTCAGTCTTTGAAGTTGCTCTTGAATCCCGGAAGCTCCCTATCCAGGGGCAATGCCCAGGATCACCAGTCTGCTTGCAGTTTGCTTGCTTTCCTTGAGGTTTCAGTTTACAGCTAGTCTGCCTGAGAAGCAGCTGGTTGAAAGGCGTAAGGCTAAAGGCTTAAATAGCAACCAGTTTGGTTCAGATTTATTTTTCTCCCAGAAGCCTTTGCAGGGTCCAGACTGCTCAGTCTGTAAGCTTCACAAGGGGTCCCCTTTTTTTCCACACCCGTTTCCACAGCAGAGAGATGATGGCCTTTAGGCTTCCTAAAACAGCAACAGAAAGAAAGCTTCAAAAACAGCACTTCACAAATTAAAGCTTCACATTATAACTGTAAAAAAGTACTCTATCGGAGTATTATTAGGACTATCTCAGAATTTAACAACTGCACAAGAATCTCATCTAGTGATCTTCAAATATCTAAGTACCTATGCACTCTGAGAATACAAGGAAAGTTTTTGTAATAAGTCACAGTTGCTCAATATTTGCTAACATTAAAAGATGATAATGTAAACTTTAGCTATCACAATGAATTAATGAACAACTGTTTTGTTGATTTTCAAACTCTTTCAAACATTAAAGTTTGCATCTTCTGTACGGGGCTCCTTTAAAGTGTTTGTAGGTAATGACTAAGATTCTTGATGCCTTTCCTTCAGAGAACAAGGATGGTGATGAATCGTGTCATTCTTTACCCGCCAACTTAAGTTTTTACAGTTGAATCTACCAAATTACTGAACGGCATTTAGAAGTAGTCTGGGAAAGAGATTTCTCTTGCAATCCACACAGACCAGAGGACAATGCTAAGCTCGTAAGAGGGTTAACCCAGTAAGTGGGCTAGTGAAGGTGGGGCCTCCTTGGAGGACATGAGTTATAGGGGCAGGACGGTGAAAGATGGATTTTTTTCCTGCCTCTTCCCTTGCTCTCTGCTTCCAGGCTGTCAGGAGATTAGCAGCCATTCTCACCGGGCAAACATGGACTGAAACCTCTAAATCTGTGAGCCAAATAAACCTTTCTTCTGTTAAGCTGTGTATGCCGGGTATTTTGTTCCAGCAAAGAAAGGTGATTAATACAGAGTAAAAGCTTAATTCCATGTATGAAGCAGCCGCTAACTTATTCATTGATAATTGGCACCAATGCCATAGATACATTCATGGGAAAACTTCTTTCTAGGTCTAAGACTTCCCTAGAAATGAAAGTCCCTGAAGGTCTTTTAAATGATAGGAGATGGTTTTATCAACTATGTAGATCAACTGATGTAATAACCATATTAGCCCCTGTGCTGATAGGCAAATAAATCCCATCTTGCCAATATGAAAAAAAAAAATAGAAGTTTTACTAGACTGGAAAACTAGACTCGCAGTTCTCCCTTATCTTTCTTAAAATTCTATTTCTTTATGTTGATATTTAAAATAACGGTTAGAAAATAAAGTCAAAAACACTTTTCCTCTAAACAGGTTGGCTTCATTCTCCCAAATACCCCCAGAAATGGTGCGCCAGATACATCAGCTCCTTTTCTCTCTGAGGATATACAGGGGTAAGGTTGATCAGCGTTCAGTTATTCAGACTAAAGAAGGGTCCCAGCTGTTAGCTGTTTCCTGAACCCTAAGTATCCTAATCAAACTCTGGGTAGTATTAAACCATCCACAAAAAATTTTGTGTGTAAAAACAGTTTTTGGAAACAAACATATCATGCATTTTTAATCACAGTCTCATAGCAAGTAAACACAGCCTCTTCCTGAATTCCGAGTGAGCCCACGTTACAGAGCCAAGTTAAGGAATCTGCATTTGAGGGACTGATAGAATTAATGTGAAGCCCTTGCTGCTGAAGTCTAATTCTGTGTAAGCAGCAAATGAGTCTATTGGGGAAAATATGAATTGCTTTTTAGAATTCAGTAGTCTGAAAAACCAAAAACTTATTAAGTGAAGCACGTGGCTGACCCTTGAAACAAAGAGGCCCAAACCCCAAGAGGTTTGGAATGTCACTGCTCTCTACTTTCTTTTGAAGATGAAGGTTCATTTATTACATTTTACAGGTTCAGTAGGGGCAACTAAAGAGAAGGTGCCTTTGTGAATCTGGAAAGGATTATCTCTGAAAATGGCTCAGGGTTGGGGATGTGGCTCCTATAGCACTTGGTTAGCGGCATGAGGTCCTGGGCTCCAACCTCAGCAACACACACACACACACACTCACATTCACACACACGCACACACTCACACGTGACTCAAAATACTACTTAGTGTTTTTTGCTGTAAGAGAAAAAAAACAATTTACAGTTGTCTTTCTGGATTTAGAATTTCAACCTTAGATTTATAATTTTTAATTTCAATCTAGTAATTGTAAGATAACACATTTTGAAAAGGTAATTAAAATATTATTAATAAACCCTATTGTGTAAGCTGAATATAACATTTTCTCATTAGATTTATTTTACATGTAATTATAACTTTTTTCATAATGATTTGTGTGAAAATACATAGATCATGGCAGTTATTATAAATTGTCTTCGGAAAGGAATATGCCATTTGCGCCAGTCTTAAGTAGCAGAGCACTTGGTTAGCAGTATGGGGTCTGCTCCATGTGTCTGAAATTCCCCATGCATGCACCTGACACAGTGATTATAAGTCCTTCTTTATTCCTCTAACAACACAAACAAAAATAGGTGGACAGGGAGTTTGTTCTGGTATGATTCGGTGTCCAGGTGTTTCCCTCCTTAGTCCCACCAATTTACATCACAAATTGGTGAATAGTAATTCTCTTTCCTGACATAATTCTGAGAAGCTGTTGCCCATCATCTGGTAACACAATCACCTTTGCTACTCAAACTTTCCCCGACAATGTATGTGCGCAGGGTGCACCCAGTGTGGGGGAGCTGACTCACTGCGTAGCTCGCAGGGCCTCCAGGCAGGTGGGGCTCCTGTGCCCTCGTCTGTGCACCCTCTAGGCTGGTACACAGGGCTGTCGGCAGTTTGTGGCTGCTGGGCCTTCTCAGCCCGTGAGTTTTGGAGGGCCTAGTCTGTTCTTACACACAGACTTACACACAGCCAGGAAAATTCCTAAGTTTTTTCTTACTTGTGGTCATGAAAGTTATGCAAAATGGAAAGGCTCAAAAGAATAAAATCAGTAAATAATTTTTCACAGCCGATGTAAAGCCGATGTACATAGTTTGTTTTTTAAACTATGCAATTGATTTTATATTTCTTCATTTACTCTTTGTATATTCCCCATTTTGAGACCAAAACTGTATTTCTCTTTTCTCCAAAAAACAACAAATGTTTCCCTCTGTAGAGTTTTCTATGAATTCTGTAGAAAATGTCTTTTCTGATTAACCTGACAGTGAATGAAATTTTAGGCATAACAACATCACACACACAAAAAAAGCCTGAGACTGCCTGTGAGATGCCCCCCCAGCAGACTCCTATCTCTCAATCAGGGAAGGAGACTATGTTGAGTAGTTAGATTTTTTGAGAAGAATGAAGAATGCAGCCAACTTTTATGGTCTTCTAGATGAGCTCTGCTGGTTTAAAAAAAAGATCTTGAAATTTATGTTACAACATTTTCTAACATGTACAGGGAATAAGCCTTATCTCCCCTTTGTGGTGGTGGGGACAGAGGCCAGGGCTTTACATGATTGTCAAGCCACTGAGCTTCCCCCAGTCCCCTTGGTTCACAGGTTCACAGTGGGATCAGAGCTCCATTCCCAGGTACCAAAAGCCAAAGCCTTGCTAACGAAGTACAGTCTTACCTGGAGGGATGCGGCCAGGCTGGCAGGCTCAGGGGCTCCCTGGCACGGGGTCTAGCTGGCTTCTTGGAGGCGGTGCGTCCGGAGCCAGGGCAGGCTCTGTCGCTGTGCTGCTGTGTCCACAGAAGCCAGCAGTTTCTGTGAAGTTCGCAGGGTGAGCTTGAACTGAAACAGCTCCACAGGTCAAACCCTGGCTATTGTTTGAATCCAAAGATGCTGAGCTCTCGTCTTCTGGACCAAGAGAAATAATGTCTTCTCCAGTGAGCTCAGGGTAAGCGTCACAGAAAGAGATGTCGTCGCCCCCCATGGCATTCTGCATCAGAGGACAGGCGTCGGAAAACTCTCCGCAGCCGGAGTGTGTCAGGGACATGAAGACAGCCGGCACCGACGTCCCGCCCAGGACTGTGTTTCTGAGCAAACATGCAAAAGGTATTTTACTCCACAGTGAGCAATGCACTTATGGCCAACAGCATTTCCGCTATCCTGCTGTCATGAAGACAGCCACTCATGAAGCCAGCATTCTAGGGGCTGGGGTCGTTACAGACTCCCTTAAGACAGGGACTCCAACGATTCCACTGGCTTTAAAATTGACTTCTACATCTATTCCCCATTCACAGGCTTCATCCGGCGTCTGAGCCAGGGACATGGACACCTTCAGGTTCTCAGGTCTTAGCGGAGGTTTCTCCACTGTTCTAAAATTCTAGACTAGTATGTCACTAGTGCATGACACGTTAAGTACTAGTTACAGATGGCAGAGGGTGCCATGGATTTCCGCAAAATCAGCGGAAAGAAAAGTATAAAGAACATTGCACTGGATGCTAACACCTTTGAAATGCTAATTCTTGCTCAAAGAATTGCCCCAGGCAACATGCAGAGAGCCATTCCTGATATTTAAAGAGAGCCAGCCCCACGGTTTCCCAAGAAAACTGGCATGTTAAGCAGAGGCACGCCTGCATCCGGGGATGGGATCTGCGGTGAGAAGCCCAGTTACCTCTCCTGAAGGGTGGCCGCCGAGTGCACGCCACAGCCCAGCGCCGGCTGGTCACTGCCGCAGGTACCCTCACAGCACAGGGGTGGGGTCACGTGGACGGGCCCTGCGGAGTCAGCAGAGAGTGAGGCACAACACTCTTCTCTAGGAGCTCACTGCTTTTCTCGAAGCATGGCTACTTACCGTAGGTCTGGGCCGAGTCCTGGTGGCACTGGCAACACGCCCTGTGAGCGTACTCGCTGAGCCGAGGTCTGTCAAAACACGACAGCTCAGAGCTGTTGTACTGGATGTCCTCTGATCTCAGAGACCCTGCAGCGAGGACAAGGATTCTGTCAGGGAACCCAATTTCCTGTCGGAAGCCGCCACATTGACACCACAGTGCAGCCAGGTCCTAGTGTAGCTTTCATTTGTTTGTTGGTTTATTTGAGACAGTGCCTTGCTCTGTAATTCCGGCTGGTCTTGAACTCATAGCAACCTTCCTATCTCAGCCTCCCAAGTGCTGGGATTGGAGGTGTGCTACCTTTTGTATTTTTAAACAGAAAGTCAGCTATCATGACAATGTCTGGTTACAAGTGCTTCTTGAGTTAGAACAGAATTACATCCCTCTAAACTCACTGCAGTGCACAGCTATTGTGTTTAATCTGCCTGACCCAGGTAACTCTTGCTTCCCTTCCACCCGCTCCCAACACCCCCGTAGGCTGCAGCTGGGCAAAGTCATCCAGCACACAGCCTGCGTTATATCCCCCTGCCAGAGATCTCAGGGGGTGCACTGAGCCCTGCACTGCACTGCAAATGAGAACCAGAGGGGTTGCATGGGTTTTATTCGTATTTTTTCACACCATTGTGAAGTGAAAGATTGTTCAGTTGAATGTTGGTAGGTTGTGAGCTGTGTGAAATTCTTACTTGGAAGCCCAAATGTGTAATAATTGGTTAAGATAGGCCAGAATGCAAGGTATTTTATTATCAGAGCTTAGGGTGATTTTAACTTTGCCTTGTGCCAAGGGGCTGTCACAGCGTGGTCAGGGTCCCCATGCTGGTCCCCAGTGAGGTCCCCACAACCCTCCATGCTCGAGCAGCTGCTGACACATGTCCCAGTCTCCCATGCACACTGCAGCGGCAGTGATGATAAACCCACTTCACCCTGACAGTGAGAAACTACGTAGGACTAGAAACTCACAGCTGGGCTTCTTCTCCATGAACTGTCTTTTACAGTAGATGACACAGAGGATGAGGAGGGCCAGCAGCACGGTGGCCAGAGCACTGCAGATGACCGCAGCCAGGGCCGTGTCCCGAGGGCTGGAGGCTGTGGATGCGATCTTTACAAGGTTGACCTTGCTGGTACCTGAAAACAGCAAGAATGGGGTTGGCACTTACGGAACGATCCAGGGCCTGCAATGCTTGCTGGAGTTCATGGCATTTTGGCAACAGCCTTCGTGGGACAGAGATAGGGCCAGCACAGGAGACCAGAATGTGTCCAGACATCCTTCAACATCGCATCTACGTTCTGCACCCCAGTGTGTGGGCGGTCCCTCCCTCACACTCCTACAGTGCGCTCGCTCAGTGCATTCTGCTGCTGAAATCTGCTACTAATCCTCCAGGTAGGAAAGAGGGGCTCCGTGCTCTTGACCTCAGTGTCCTTGCAGCCTGGCAGTGCTGGGCACACAGTAGTTTTGGGGTGAAGGAAATGATCTTTCCATCATCTCCTGAAGACTGGCATGAATTGGCAATAGACTAAGGGAAGAACATAGGCACATTTATTTCTGCACACAGGGCCAGATGCCCAACAACCTCATAGCTCAGATGCTGGTGTGCCCTTCTCCACGGGGGAGACCAGAGCAGGATGTAGGATACGATTAGGGTGAATGATGACGGGGGGGGGGTGATAGGACTGGAGATCAGGTACCAGTTGGTGAGGGGGTCTCTTCAGGAATTGAATGGGATCAAAATGCAGAACAGTCTCTCTTGATGAAGACTGTTCAGGTATAGGGACATTTCTGTATCAATTTCTGCAACAGGAGTTTGATCTTTTCTGGTTAATAAAAGCTGGGTAGGGGAGATCTAGGTCCACTGTGCTCCCTGAGGTATATCATTAAGTGGAGAAGGGGCCTCAGAGAAGACCTTTCCCAGCAAGGGACCTTTCCCAACAACCCCTAGGTGCCTGCAATTCAACATAATCTGCATACGAGGGTATTACATTTGGAGGGCCATTTCTGGACTCCCTCGGTAGCCATTTACTATTTCTTATTTAATTGGAATTGGGCTATTTTCAGGAAGATGTAATAAACATATTCACATCCTTTTAAATTGTCCAGAAAGCACCTTTAAAAAAGTTTTTTAAAAGGCAAAATTAATTTTATACTTTACTCAATCAATATTTTAACATATATTCAATATGAACTTGTTAATGGAATCTTTTTATTCTTTATTTTCTACAAGAATCTCGAAATCCAGTGTGATTTTGCAGGGCAGCCCATGTCACAGCAAGGGCTCGACAGGCACACGTGCCGTCTCAGCAGGTGCCCAAAGCTGGGGCGGGAGAGATCCTGACCACGCCTGGGCTGCATGGCTCCTGTGTGCATGAAGCTTGTCACCCGCGCCTTCGCCCTGTCCCAGCTACACATCCTCCAACCAACAAGACCGTTCTCCACTGTATGATGCCAGCCAGACCCACAGGGAGGTATGTGGGTTAATCATGCTGAATTATAAGAAGGAATACCTAGAACTACCATGGGGGTTTGAGTCCTGGTATTTTTAGTCTCAACAATTCTGAGCCACACAGATAAATGTTTGTTTCATATGAGCTGCGTGCCTGAGGCTTAGATGATTAGGTGCCATAATTAGATCACATATTTTAGAGGACAATTATTTGTAACTATGTGTAATATTCTTTCTCTTTTGTTTTGTTTTTTCGTTTTTTGGGGATCAAACTCATGACCTTGCACTTTCTCAGTGGGCGCTTACGCTGCTGAGTTAAATCTCCAGTCCTATTATGATCATTTCTGCAGTACTGGGAATTGAACCCAGGGACTTTGCATAAGCTATATCCCTAGAAAACCCACCCTGCCACCTTCGTATACATATTTTTGAGATAGGGTCTTTCTGACTTGCTAAGTTGCCCAGACTGGTCTTGAACCTGTAACCCTGCCTCAGCATTCCAGAATGCTTGGATTGTAAGTGTGAGCCACCAATCTGGCTCATAAAATATTTTTAATAATTTTAACTGTATAAAAATATTATAATAATTCAATAGGATATGCTAAATGCTCATAATACAGCAGGTTGACTAAATCACATCCCAGCCTCACAGAGATTGGATCTAAATCTCAAACTACCTTTACCAGTGGACAGAGTCACCAAAGGATGCATGGGCACAGGCCTAGTGGCACAAACACTGACAAATGAAGAGCCTAGTAGATGCTCTTGTCCCATGCAAGCCAAAGTAGCAGGTCACACAGAAGGGGGAGTGACTCAGAAATGAAAGAGTCATCTCTTCGGGCCACCAGGGGAAGCTGTGAAAAGCTGTCATTCCACCGTACTGTTGGCTGCAGAGTGGGGACAGGTCCTTAGCTTCAACTCCTAGTCAGATGACACAGCCCACCGGGCAACAGCTGTCATCAAAATGAGGCACAAGGCACAAGGCAGAAACCTCAAAGTTCTTGCACGTAACTGTTAAGTTTATCCACTGGTCAGCCCTGGCTATTCAGAAAAATCCTTGAAGGATAGGGATTTAAACTCAAAGCAGAGAACTTTCAGCGTTCTTTAAATTTTCATCGTTCAGAATTCCTCCAGAATATATTAGTTAACTTATTTGTCTTAACACCAAAGGAAATCACCTCTAAGTTATAAATGGGTTGAAATGTCCTCAAAGTTGGGATTTTATTTATTTATTTATTTATTTGTCTTTTTCCTTTTTATCGGTACCAGGGATCGAACTCACGATTGCCTGCTTGCAAGGCAGGTGCTTATGCCACTGAGCTAAATCCCCAGCCCCTGGGATTTTATTTTTAATTTAGTAGTCTGCAACTCAGGATTTAGTTTCTCAAAATATAAAAGTCTTAATAGTACACATCTTTCCAAGGTAGAGCACTGATATTGTAGTTTCAGTGAAATCTACTTGCCATAATATCAGTTTTAAAGAAAAGTGCATCAATATCTCCCTTGTCAACTGATTGTTCCAGGCAGTGGCATCTATAGTAGAACAAGAAAAGCACATAAATTTTATAACTCACTTGTTGACCTACAGATAAGAAAAACCACTGGTTAATTCCAGTACCCTCTGACTCTCAGAAGGCCCACAGTCTTGAGAGCCAGATGCTTGATCCTGTGATGCGTTTATGACCTGCAAAGCCAGGACAGCAAAGCCCTGGTCTCACTGCAGTGGGTTAGGCCACCCTCTGGCTCGTTTGTGTCTTTACCGCCTATACAGCAATATGGATATGCATACAGAGGCTATGAAGGACAGGGCTGACTTTTAAAAGAACTCCAAAAGCCCATTCATAGAGTCCTGGGTTTTAAAAGTCCATTTTCTTATAATTCTACCTGACGTCAGCAGTGAAAAGCTGGCTAGGAGGGGAGGTTTGTATTGGATCCAAGAAGTGACTTCTGTACTGTTCCATTTGGCCAATGGAGACACTCCTGAGAACTTCTCAACTACAAAATCTCTATTACAAACTAGGAAATACTAGCTTGCTGACCTGTGCCCATGGCAAGGAACTGGCATTAAAGACTCATTCTGGCCCTATGCACTGCCTAAATTCCCTAAGCACATGGAATCTTCCAAAGAATCCTACCCACAACTTTACTCAACTCTAGAGGTCAGAAAATGAGGATATTCATACTTTTAGACACTTCTCACTTCTCCTGAACACAGAGGCACAGCACATTCCCTGCAGAGCACCCTGTTCGGACAGGCTGGGCTGCAGAGAGAGAACTGGTGTCCAGCATCTGGCTCTGGCCATGTCCCACCATGGCTGTAAACCAGCTTTTCATCTCTGAATCCGTTTCCTCCAAAGAAGATGAAATGGTGGCTCATTCTGCAAAGGTCCCCTGTGGGGTGAGCCCCAAACTTTACCCTCAGGGTGAGATCACCTAGTGTCAGCAGCCCCTTGGACCTCCAGCTGTCCGCACAGGAAGTGTCGCCCCCGACTCTCCTGGCTGGTGGCTTCTCCATGCAGAAAGAGGCGAGGCCTCACACTAAAGACTGAGACTGAGCAGGATGTGCTATTTCACTTCTTCATGATTCCTGAGTCCAGAGTCACCCATCTGACAGCCTACTGGCTGCCTCCCCAGGGGTGAGATGTGTCCTTAATTTGACAGGTCCAAAAAATGAGCCCCTCATCACACCCATGGCCACCTTCCCTCACCTACCTCTCCCAGCCTCTGCCCCCAAAGCTTTCCCTTGCACTGCTGCAGGGACCCCCTGCCCCAGGCTGTCCTATCAGCCCTCCCTCAGATGTCACCTGCCCAGTGAGGCTTCCCCATCAAACTGAAGTTGCAATTTTTCTCCCAGCGCTTCCTCCCCGTTTCCCTGTTTGCCTTTCCTCCCCAGCACGCCCTGTCATCTGACATTTTATGCATATTTACTTATTGGTTTGTACTGTCTTCTCCCCTAGGTGGGAGGCGCAGAAATCACCCTCACTAACCAAGCTCACCCAGTGGACTGCAGTTCGCCTGGCCCAGCACACTGCCTGCCTGACGTCCTTCTGCTGCAAACTGGGTGCTGGGTGTGCGCCCCACTGGGAATCTGGTGCGTGAGGCAGGATGCTGGCCTCTGAGTACATCCAGTAGGCCTCCTGCCATCCTGAGATGGCTCTATTGTCACAGAACAGAGAGAGACTTCCGTCTTAGGCCACAGTATCTTGGGGCCTCTTTAACCCAGCAGCTGATCCTTCACTCTGACCAACTGTATGTCCTAGCAAAACTGAGGACCCACAGGGCAGGGACTGTTTTTGTGTTTGTTCATGTGCCTGCATTGCCTCTATGGGATTCTGTATGGTTGCTGATAAATACCTGTTAAATAATAGAATGAACGCATGTTTATGAAAGACTGGAACAGCTCCATGGTCCGAAAAGCTTACTTAACGGGAACTTGTCCAAGTGATCAGAAGAGATTATGCCGCTGCTGTGTGGCATCACCCCTGGCAATGAAGTTGTTGCCAGGGTAGCTAGAAACAGCCTGGAGCAGAAGGCAGTTGTACTTCCATGCATAGTTTTGTCATTTTAGTTCACTGTGATTGAAGAGCAAAAGCTGCCTGGATTGATCAGTTTGTAAACCCTAAAGATTCGTGGCAGCCTCCTCGGGATGGGCGTCAAACAAAAAGAGCCTTTTTTAGGCAGGTTTAA